TCTACCTTATAAGTTCTATTTCCCAGTAAATTCTGAAGGATGAAATTCCAGTAAGTTCCACCAGTGTGGCACCAGTAACTTCTTTGCCATTCAGTGAGAAACGGTCATAACTCTCTCTAACAAGGCCAGAATCTTAGATTTGGGGAGAGGACTCTTACTTTGGCCTCTATTAGCCTTAGCAATGGTGGCTGCTTCTTACAACTGTTACTCCTGTATTTTAGTTTTCTTTCCTCCAATTCACCAATATAGTCAGCAATTCTATTAAACTTTTCATGTTAAAAAATTGCACTGACTTCTGTCTCCTAACTGGACCCTAAATTGATACACTCTCTTTTGAATTTTTATTTTCTTTATGATACTTGCACTAACTATATTATTTGTGTTTGCTTGTTAATTGCCAGTGCCCTTCACTAGAATGTAAGCTCTATGAAAGTAGACATTCTGTTCACCACTGAATAAATTCCTAGTATGAGTATGCTATTTGGCCATGAGAGATTCACAATAAATATTTGTAACTGAATAAATAAAGTTGTGGTCACAGGAGAGCAAATTTTATTTTTAGAATTTCAACTCTTGGATTACATCAAATAAAGAGATGAATGCCCCTTGGTTATTTTTGCTCTCTCTTACACACACAACCCTCATTCACTCATATCATTCTTGGTCTCCACTTATGGTATTCCTGCAGTCTCCACTCTAAAATTAGTAAATAACCTCTCTGGGTGCAAACATTCCACCTTACTGCTGTTTAGACTGTGAGGCTCAGGCAATAGAACCCAGGACTCACCCTACAAGGGGAGGAAAGCCATTACTGAGTGCAGTGAGAGAAATGGGGAGCTATTCTTTAGGCCTCATCCATAAAGGCTGACAAACTTCTGAAAAGTAGTAATAGTTGTTATTGCTCAAATTGGTCCTCTTAAAGACATCTAAAAATTCTTACTAATAATCTAATACTTCAGCCCCCTTATTTTAAAACATTTTTCAGAATAGAAACTTGCAATATTCTTTTAAAGACAATCAGTCTACAATTTAATGTTCAACAACCATTCCTTTTGAGTCTTGAGCTCATTCTCTTGTGTAGATACAAACTTAAAAACAAAACAAACAAACAAAAACTTCTCAATGAATCTATTAATTTTTCTGTAGGCCCATCTAGGATGGCTTTCTGCCACTCTTGTGGGCTTTCTTGATTTCAGTAGGGAATACTGTAATAATCCAATTATTGCTGAGAAGTTCAAAATGATACCAAAACAGTGGGAGGTCTAAGGGCCTACAGAACAAACTTAACCAACAGCTAGAGAATACTGGACAAATTCTGTTTTTGCACTCTTTCCCTCCTATTACCTGATTTGTCACTGTTAATTTGAGAGGGGTATGGAAGTACAGAATGCACCCAAAGGGGCACACAGATATAAAGTCAGGGGAAATCACTTCTTGGTCTTTTCAAGCAATCAGAAGAACGGAGACAAAGGTAGTAACACTGGCAAAACAACTTTCAGTTTTCTCATTTTTATAGTGCTTCACTTCAACATAAACAAATATCAAATAACAATAGCAGTAAAGGTTGTCCCCACAATCAATGGCAAGAACTTCCATTCAACTTCCACAGTCTCAACTCTGAGTATCAAGTTTCTTCAGTTGCTTCCAAGCTAAACCTGTTTCCTCTGTTTAGGACTCCTCTACAATTGAAACAGCTTTAGGTTGTCCAATATTACTATCAGCCTCAATTCAGCAATCGATTACCTACCCACCAAGGTCAAAATAGCCACATAAAAGTTACAGGGAACTAAGAGAACAAAAAATGAAAGTAAAAAGAAACATCCATGGGGAGAATATGGGAAAAATAAAGCATGTACAATGTGTTTTAAAGACACTCTGGATCTAATACTCAAATTATTTAAGTTTTGAAGAATATTAGGCCAAGCTTTTCAAACTATAGTTTGAAAGAGTTTTCTCCCATTGCCTTACACAATAATTTAGAGGAGAAAATTATTTTCCACTAATGGAAAAAGAAAAATACTGCATTAAAATTACCTTTTGAAAGCATCTGCTGTTTCTAAAGCTCTTAATATGATTTTCACTGTAATAGTATAAATGTTAAATTATATCAACAAAAGTTCAGCCAAACAAGTCTGAGGGAAACCAGAAACAACTTTTTTAAAAATAGCAATTTCTAAAAGATGAGAGTAACTTTTGTTGTTGTTTTTCTTCATCTAACATCATTGTTTAATTAAAGCTCTACCTTTCACTGTCACTGCTTTTGGAAAAATCTGTGGCAGAGTGAGACAGCTTCCCTAAGCCACTAAGCTTTAGCCCTAGACAACATTAATCCAGAATTGTCCACTGACTTGTGAAAGGGTAACTCTTTGGTAACTAAATACTGTGTCAATCTATATTAAGTGTAGTGATGTTGCTGAAACACTGATCTTGAAGGTCAGATATCTACCCTGTTTCCCTGAAAATAAGACAGTGTCTTATATTAATTTTTGCTCCCAAAGATGCGGTAGGTCTTATTTTCAGGGATGTCTTATTTTTTCATGAAGAAGAATACGGTACACATTTATTGTTAAATGAAAACAAAGGAGATGTATTAACTGTATACGGTACGGTAGTACGGTAGTTGTCAACACAAACCAGACAAACTGTGAATCCTACAGTATCAAGAATTTACTCATTTATCCAATGACAATCATGTCATCATCTGGAACATCATCATAACAATCCAATTCCTGAATTTCCTGGTGAATTTCTTGTGACTCCATTTCTTTCAGAATCAGTGGACCAAATCTCTCATGTTTAGCCTAGAGGGGTCTTATTTTCGGGGGGATGCCTTATATTTCACTCAGAAGGAAACCTGTAAGTAGGTCTTATTTTCGAAGGATGTCTTATTTTCGGGGAAACATAGTATGTTAGATTCCCACATCAAATAATGGCTAGCTTTGTAATTATGAATAACTAACCTGTCTAGGCCTCAAATCCTCATCTATATAATGATAAGGCTAAACTTGATGATTTCTAAGATTCTTTTCAGGTATAGTTTCATCTTTAACATTCTTACCACTCTCATTATATATTTCAAGAATTTCATTGATTCAGTATTCATTAAGTACCTACTGTGTTCCTGGCATAGACACTGTCCCTCCCTCACTGAATTTATATTTTAATTGTCCCATCATGTATTAGAAAATGCATATTTAAACTTAGACTTAATGGGATAAGTAAGAATGATTTTAAGTTGCTCATTTGGCTTAGAATTCATAAGATGATGCACTTATGGATTAGTATGAGACTCCACAGTTGAAACTGCTCATAAAAATACCAAAATAATTCAGCTGATGAGAATTTATTAGACTTGTCACCAACATAATGCCCTTTAATTAAATCAATTGCCAATATATTTATGTACCATTTCTAGGCAATAAAAATAAGGAGGCACATGCAAGCCAAAAAGGTATGTTAAAGTCAGTTTGCATGGGGGGGTGGCGGGGGAGTCTCAGTCCCAATCTCCAGCAAAGCTGGGTAGCAGCAGCCTGTGCCCATCCATCCTTGTCAACGTTTAATCCTCCGACTGATGAAAGCATGAGACATCTGTTTATTTTTAAGTATATGCGGGCAGCTGGCTGCCCTATTTTCACCTTTCTGTGTACCACTGTACACAATTCATCAAACGCTTAATACCATCAAGCTGACCATACCGACCTTCAAGAAAATTAACTCCTAGAAGGAAGATTTAAAAAAAAAAAAAAATGAATGAATGACAGAAACGCAAGGCAGACTATGGTGTTCCAGTAGTCAAAGCGTCAACACAACTGCTCCCTGCTGACACAAGCGCAATCAAACAGAATTCCGGGAAAGGAACAGAAAAGAAAGGGGAGGTGACATTTACCCATCCCCCAGCAGGTGCCAGGTCCAGCGCAGCCCGGGACACCAAAACCGATCCCAAACATAGGACCATCCCCAGCGGGGAGAGACAGCCACTCCCCTCTGACAAACACGATGGCAACAGCCTGCGAGGGCATTCGAACGGCAGCCCACGCCGTTCGTTCGTGTAAAAAACCACTCCGCCGAGCGTCTCAGCGTCTGCAAGTGCCAGGCCGCCCCCCATTCATTTCGCCCGCCTCGCCGCGCAGGCCCGGCCAGACCAGGCGCCGCTCCGTGACCGTGACCTGGGTGCTGGCCTTGGAGCTGGGATCGCGTCCACCCTCTGAAGCCAACTCGGCCGAAACCTTGCGATGCCTTTCAGCTCCATTCGCACTTTTATGAAATCGCCATCAAAACCAGCTCCTCCTCCTAAACGGCTCAGAGTCTCGCAGGGCGTGCTGCCATTTTCTCCAGGATATTTTAGTCAAAGAAACGATGGACCAGCAGCAAGCCACCTGCCTGTGAACCTCTGCCCCCTCCCCGGCTGCTGTCCTCCTACAGATGCGGATCGCAGGGGGGTGCGCGTGTGTCCGTGAGGAGCGCGGGTCCCCGAGGTCCGGTTCTCCGCGGAACCCCGGGGCTCCGGTTCTCCGCGGAACCCCGGCGGCGTGGGGGATGCCGGCCCGGACGGCCCGTGGCAGGGGCAGCCCGGTCGGTCGGTCGGTCACGCCGCGCGGGGCGGGCGGGCGGGAGGAACCGCGGCTGAGGGAGCAGGAACGCGGCTCCCTCCCTTTCTCCCTCCCTCCCCTCGGCCCCTCCGCCGGCCCCGCGCCGGGAGGGCCGGGTCCGAACGCCGGCCGGGGACCGTTAGGAGGCCGCCCAGGCCGCGGGCCCCGCGCGGGCCGCCCCTCCCCCACCGCGGCCTGGGCGCGCGGCGCCGGCCGGGACCCCCGCGACTCCCCGTGGTGCCCCGCGCGGACAGTAACACACGGGGTCCCCCGAGGCCGGACGCCGAGGCGCCCCCCTTCCCACGGGCCTCGCGCGGGCGTCGAGACGCAGGCCGCGAGGGGCCGCCCCGCGGGAGCCCGGGAGCGGAGGCCGCCGCCCCCACACCCCCCCCCCCGGCCCCGGCCCCGTACCTGGCTCCAGGTGATGAACTCGTTGGTGTGGGCCTCCTCCACCAGCGTCCACAGCTTGCTGAGGAAGGCGGGCACGTTCGAACTCTGCTTCATTGTTCACGAGGCGCGGGGATTCCAGGTTCTACACCCGAACGCGGCGGCGGCGGCGGCGGCGGCGGCAGCTGCTCCCCGAGAGCGCCCACGACGCAGGCGCAGCAGCTCCGGGCCCCGCCCCCCGCCTCGCCGGGCGCGCAGCGAGGAGGACGGGGGGCCCCCCACGGCCGCCCGTGATGGACAGGGCTCCACGCCCCGCCCCTGGTCCCCGCGCCGATCATCGTACTCAGCCAATCCCGGGCGCCCGCTACGCGAAAGAGACAAGCGATTGGATACGAGGGGAGCCGAGGGGGTGGGAGCAGAAGGGGGCGCTGCCTTCTCATTGGCCTTTTATACCAGAGCCCTGACCGTAGCGGACCTTTAGCGGAGGGACCAGTTTGGCTGTTTCCCGCGGGACCGGTTCCTGGGCTGTGGCTGAAGGTGGGAGGCAGGTGTGTTTTGAGCCAGTTAGCAGGAAAAGAGTGTAATAAATCAGATGGGAGAGGAGAGTGGCTTTCAAGCACGATGTGCTAGGCCCTAAATTGAAACTGTCTGAATAATAAACCTAGAAAAAAATAATAATAATAAACCTTGTTCTTAAGGGTTTTTTTTTGTTTTTATTTTTATTTTATTTTTTAAAATATTTATGGTTGAGAGTATTACAGAAGTCCTCTTCTCCCCACCATTGTCCCCCTCCACCTGCTTCTTGCCCTGCCTCAGGCCTCCACCACCCTGTTGTCTGTATTCATAGGTAATGCTTGTATGTATATAAATTCTTTGGTAAACCTCTTCCTGCCCCTTTCCCTCTGAGATTCCTCAGTCTGTTCCATGTTTCCATGCCTCTGGTTCTATTTCACTCATCAGTTTATACTGTTCATTAGATTCCTTGTTTGTTTACTTTGATTTTTGGGTTCAATTGTTGTTAGATATGTATTTATTGCCATTTTTATTGTTCATATTTTTTTCTCTTCTCTTTCTCCTCCTCCTCCTCTTCCCCCCCCCCTTAATAATGCCCTTCAACATTTCTTATAATACTGTTTTGGTGGTGATTAACTCCTTTAGCTTTTTCTTGTCTGGGAAGCTCTTTATCTGATCTTCAATTCTAAATGATAGCTTTGCTGGGTAAAGTAATCTTGGCTGTAGGTCCTTGCTATTCATCTCTTTGAGTATTTTTTGCCACTCCCTTCTGGCCTGCACAGTTTCTATTGAGAAATCAGCTCACCATTGAATGGGTGTTCCCTGCTTTCTTCTTGTTGCTTTTAAAACTCAAAATGGGCCCTTTAAAATATGTTTATCAAAAAGAGGAATTTAAATATCTCACTAAATTCCTAAGCATGTACTTACTGGTGTGACTCGGGATCTGCAATAAGCACCCTATATTTAATTCACTATATGTTCAACATAAGAAACAGTCTTCCTTACACTATTTTAATCAACTAAAATAATTGTTTCCACAGATATTTTACAGACATATTTTTATTTGGTGGAGATAGCTTAGTTATAGTGGGAGAAAAAATGGACAAGGAGTCAGCATATCTGAGTTTAGACCCAGCTTCAAGGACACTTTAGAGCAGTGGTTCTCAACTTTTCTAATGCTGTGACCCTTTAATACAGCTCCTCATGTTGTGGTGACCCCCAACCATAAAATTATTTTTGTTGCTGCTTCATAACTGGGTGACCCTGCTATCGGTTCTGTCACTACCCACAGAGAACCACTGCTGTAGAGCCTAAGACCATTGGAAAACAGAGATATTTACATTATGATTTATTAACCGTAGCAAAATTACAGTTATGAAGTAGCAATGAAAATAATTGAGAACCACTGCTTTAGAGGATATTAAATTGCATTGATACTTATAGTTTAGAGTAATCACTTAATCTGTTGGTGCCATTCTTCCTCACTTACCAATTGGGAATAAGAATATCTCTATTTTTACCCATGTAAAGTATTATTAATAACATAGTAGGTTTGAAAATGCTTTTTAAAAAACTAGCTAATAACACTTTACATTTAACATAGGATTTCTTACTTCCTGGATACACATAAAATAATAACTAAAAAAATGCATTCAATTTCCAATGAGCAAATGTTTGTTGCATACAGACCTTTGTGTTCAGCACTGGTCTGTCTGCAGAAGCAAATCAGATGTATGGTATAATACACCTGAGAAAGAAACTAATATTTGATGAGCCCTTATAGAGACTCAGCTTTTTACATATGTTATTGTATTTAATACTCATCAATACCCAATGAAGTCAGTCTTAGCTTATTTTCCAAATAAAGACTCTGAGGCTCAATGTGAATTAATTTATCCCATCACTATTAGTAAAATAAGACAGGGTATTTACATCCAGGCTTCAAAAGCCTGTGCTATTTCTATTGTATGATGATTGCACCATCTAGGATAGATGCTGAAGATGCTTATATTCTAACTCAAGAAACATGAACACAATGATCAGCAATCATTAATATTTTTAAAACAAGAGCTAAATTTACAGAATAAAACAAGTGCTTGAAAAGTTTAGAAAGACAAAAGTTCAGTGAATTAAGGTGCTAAGAGAAGACTTCATGGAGACGAGGACTTGAAGTCGGGTCTTGAAGTACAAATACACTTACATAGCTGAAAGGAAGGCAGACAACAGCGAGCAAAGATGAGGAGGGAAGTGGATGAACATGGTCTGCCTATGGAGAGAGACAACTCGGGAGCTAAGATTGGTGTCTGAGGGGGAAATGTGGCCAATTTCATGGCTTTGTATTATTTCTGTCTGAGAAGAACAAGTGTGGTTGGATACAAGTAGAAACTCCTCTTTGGGTTTTAACCTGCACAGGCATTGGCCTGTGCTTAGTAGGGCTCCTTCCTTCCTTGTTTAATGCTCTGCTGTCACCATCTTGAAACTGTTAATTTTTAAACAAGGGATGCTGCATTTTCATTTTGCACTGGGCCCCTCAGGTTATGTTGCTGGTGTGTTTCCAGTATATTACAACTTATAAACCAACTAGAGGCCCAGTACACGAAATACATGCACAGGTAGGGTCCCTAGGCCTGGCCAGTGATCAGGGCCGAATGGGACCTTCCTTCCCCAGTTGCTGGCTGCCAGCTGGAGCCTTCCTTTGTGCCATGCTCCCCTCTGGTGGTCAGCACACATCATACCAAGCAATCAAATTCCTAGTTGGTCAAACTCCTGAGGGGACAATTTGCATACTAGCCTTTTATTATATAGAATAGTTCTCAAAATTAAGCATGTATCCAAATCACTTGGAGAGAGAAGACTGCCAATATAACAAGTGAATCAGAATAACTTATGTCAGTGGTCGGCAAACAGAGCCAAATATCAAGAGTACAACTATTGAAATTTCTTTTGAGAGCCAAATTTTTTAAACTTAAACTTCTTCTAACGTCACTTCTTCAAAATAGACTCGCCCAGGCCATGGTATTTTGTGGAAGAGCCACACTCAAGGGGCCAAAGAGCCGCATGTGGTTGCTGACCGTGGACTTAGGTAGTATTTACAATACTAAGAAGGCCGGGTAAGGGGCTAAGTTATTAACCAGGTAATATAGTGATGGCATCAGGAGATAGATGATGTGTCTAAAATTTCATGTCTGGGATTAAAAATTTTCCCCCTTTGTTCCAGAGGGCTTCTGTAAAAACAGATTTCTGTTTCTCCCCTCATTCCACTCAGTAGGTCTGGGTTCAGGCTAAGAATTTGTATTTCTAAAAAGTTCCCAGGTGACACAGATGCTGCAGACCCTCAGACCACACTTTAAGAACCACTGTAATAAAGAAAAATTTAATCTGACCTTCTCTTGCAAACATATACAGACTTGTTGTTACTCATCTCAACAAATTCCAGACATTCCAGGAATTATTTAAACTACTGTATTTTCTTTTTCTATGAACTTAATCCTTAATGTGGATTGCAATTAATAAACTTTTTGAGAACTTCATGGACTAGAAACATTTTGGGAGAGAAGAGAAAATCATTGTTCGTCATTTGCACTTATTTATAAAACTGAGAAGCAAAACCAAAGCAAGCTTTTAAATTCACAATTGTTTGCCACCTTCAATACCCCACAAATGTCAGAAGAAATAAATCTGAGCCAATGTCTACCCTTTTTAAATGTTGACAATATTATAAGATACAAATATCACTTTTTTTTTTTTAGAGTGAATTCTCTGGACTGCAAGATTTTTAAAAATTTAGAACAACATTGGAAATATGAGTGACTCTGACCTTTGCCTACACAATAGAAAAGAATATTGTGGAGCACTTTGATGCTTCAAAGCACCTGATTCAGACTGTACAAATTCTGCCTAATCAATTATGCAAAAATAGTTGGAACGGCAGTACAAACAGAACTTTTTTAAAGATTATTTTCAAGTGCAACATGACTGAAGCCAGAGGTAAATGGCATAGAGTTTCCACCCGCATTCCTGTCTGTCCAGTGTTGATTTTGTTCCATTTGGGATGACATAAGGGGACCTTTGGCACATCACTGGACACCTAGATCTTTCTATATAAAATGTGAGTGAAAATACCAACTTCTTCCAGTTGTTGATGCTGGACAGGAAGCAGGGACTCGTTAAGCTAAGACAGTAACTTGCATAGCAACCAGTGCACCTGAGGGATCTACAGCTTGAGGGCAGCTCTTAGCCTAGCTGGAAAGGAAGTGGAGGTACTCTTCGTTCCCAGGCACCCTCACAGCCGACTGATGAGTGAAGGAATCTATGCACCCCACAGATTAAGACCCTGGTGGAGGCCCAGGCCCATGCAGAGAGATGTTGATGAGAAAGAAAACTCAAGGCCAGGAAAGTTAAAAGGACTGGAAGCATTAGAAAAACGTTGGTTAGCCGAAACCGGTTTGGCTCAGTGGATAGAGTGTCGGCCTGCAGACTGAAGGGTCCCAGGTTCAATTCCGGTCAAGGGCATGTACCTTGGTTGCAGCGGGCACATCCCCAGTAGGGGGTGTGCAAGAGGCAGCTGATGGATGATTCTCTCTCATTGATATTTCTAACTTTCT